GCACCCAGGGAAATAAAGGCGGCGGCGTGGATTCGTCTGTGCTACGCTGATTTCCACCCTCAAATCCTCTCCAGACGAAGAGGCTGCAATAATTGGGATTCTGACAGTGGGTTAGGGGGACTCATTTCCTGCCTTCACCTCCTCCCCTTCTCTTTTCCATGCAATCATGCCTATCCAATCATGGCACCTACCTTTGCACTCGATCCCCCTAACTCTCTTTATCTACAACCGCATTAGGTTGAAGAATTACTGAAGCCTTAATCTAATTGTTCTGGGTGCAACTGCAGGAGCCTCGATTCCGAGCAGCCATACTACCCAGACCTCATCAAGAGATTAAAGCAGACCTATTCTGCTCATTGGTGTTCCTTTTCCTGTAGTTCCTGAATAGGTTTGTGTGCATGTAAACGGTCTGCAAACGCTAAAATCCAAAAGTTTCTGTCCCACACACTCCCTCCAACAATCAGAGCAGTACATGACTGTCGTGCATGTACAGTAGAATGTACTACAGTAAGCGTACACCCCAGCACGTGCACTCCGCTCTCCATCAACCAAACGGCTCGCTGCACCCTCGCTGCGAAGGGGACCCAAGTTCCCATCAGCAAAAACACGTGGGTTTGCTATCCTGGCTCCAGGATGGTGGAATGAGCTCCCCATTGACATCAGGACAGCAGAAAGCTTACACACCTTCCGGGGGAGACTGAAAACGAATCTCTTTCGACTCCACTTCGAGCGATAGAACTATTAACAAAGCACTTATATACTAATAAAGGGCTGGCTTATCTAAAGCCAGTTGAGTAGCACTTGAAATGTTTTAGCTCTATGAAACCTGATGTACTTATATGATTCTGTTTTCTTCAAGTTTGTATTTTGTTGGTCGAACGCACTTATTGTAAGACGCTTTGGATAAAAGCGTCAGCTAAATGCAATGTAATTGTAATTGTAAGTCCATTAGGGAGGCATGTTTGCAAGTGTTACTCTGTTACACATTTCTCCAACAAGCATTTAACATCAGGAACTGTAATCTGATTATCTACAGTAATGTACATCTTTGTATTCTTAAGATATATATATTAATGCTGTCAAAATTATCGCGTTAACGGCGGTAATTCATTTTTTGAATTAATTGCATTAAAATATTTAACGCATTTAACGCATGTGCAGAATGGCCCGCCCCATACGTGCCACCAGTGGCAGCGCCAGGGTATGGCTGGGGTAGGCTACACCCATACCAAGAAATGGCTTAGCCCCACCATGACAAATGATGTTAAAGTAAGCAAAATAAAGTCTGCCAACTCGCGCGGAGTAAATTGCACAGACAGCAGTTAGTAAGATTGATTTCAGTAGCCACTTGTCTGGAAATACCGAAGACCAGAAACGGTTTTGAAAACTTTTGTCATGTAGTGATTGTCTTCTCAATAGAACATCTTTGATAATGTCTTCTGGCCAATCAGAATCAAGATAACGGCGTGGTGTTGTTGCAGGAAGTCCCGACGGAGAATACTTTTGCTGTAGTACAGGTAACACATAACTGGTACGCAGGTGATGTGTGTAATCTGAAATGCGTACCGTCACTTGTGTCACAAAGCGCATTTGCATACAGACGTACTTGTGAAGCTTTTCCAGAAGGCGGTTAGATCACCGGACGACAGACTCGGTCTCCGTGTGCACAGACAGGGCTGCTGTTAACGTCGGTCTTTACAACGGAATTGTGCCGAAACTACGCCAACCGGCTGCGGAGGGAGACTTCCTCCCCCCCCCCCCCCCCCCCCCCTTCACTGGAGAACTGCGCTAAAACAGCTGATCACAACGTTCACACTCTGTGGTCACGAAGTACTCCACTAGCGCGCCCCCCCCCCCCCCCCCCCGTCGACTTTCCTGAAGTACTCCCCCGTTGATAGAAATCAACACGTAATGAATTAAGACCCCACGGTTTGATGATTGATAGGTGTGTGGGTTGTCTTTCATTTTGACACGCAGACATTTTTTATAATAAACATAGATACTGTATGTTAAATGGATACATCTGCCTTCTTTCATTTATCTTTCCATTCCCACAACAATATACATAAATAAATGGCATATTTTGGACATAGTTCGAATGGTGATTAATCATGATTAATTAATTTTCAAGCTGTGATTAATCTGATTAAAAATGTTAATCGTTTGACAGCCCTAATATATATATATATATATATTCTGAGGCAACCAGATTGGTTTCACAGGCAAGATTATTTAACTGCACATAAGTGGAAGAGCGTGCAGAACATGTAACAGTTGCACTTTTGTATCCACCGTCCTGCTGTGTGATGTTATGTGTTGACTATTGTTCCAACAAATCTGGACCACAGGGCCACACGAAATGCGCTGTGTTTTACGATGCTTTCCCTTCCTCACCAAACACAGTAATTAAGAAAAACACAACAAAAAGATGACTCCAGCTGTTAGTGTGGCTGTGACTGATTGTCTCCATCTGAATCTTCACTGTACTATAACGGGAGCCACGCTCCCACAGCAGAGACCCTTGAACTCACACTAGCATGGGGTTAGATGATCAGATTACAGTGATAAAGCACACACGGGCATTGTTAAGCGAGTTTGCAATTCCACCCATGAGCATGGCTCTCATTGTGCACCAGTGAAGAGAATGCTTTTCATTCTGGAAGTGAACAGCAAGGGCAAACAGGACCTCATGTGTCCATGTGTCCTCGGGGCTCTAAAGGGAAGAAGGATCTCCCTTTTCTGAAAAACCCTGGTGTGGTTCAGGACCTCTAACATGGAGAAACTTAATCTGACTTGTAAGACAATATCAGAGAAAAAGGCTTCAGCAATTTCATGTGCGCATCCCCTATACCATCAATATTTTGACAGATTTCATGACAGCATAATTATTTGCCGGGATCCCTGCCAAGGATTTAATTGTTACAAGCGTAATTACACGTTCAGTTGCGGGGATGTTGGAAAAAAGCATTGGTCGCGTCCTTAACATTACAGTACAGTCTCTTTCATCTGGGATGCTTTATGCTATGTCTCTGAAGCTCCATAATCCCGCTATGAAACAGGATATCTTGCAAACCCCTCCGAGGGCACCTCTCACAAATCAATTCATTACCCCATAATATCAGCAGGCCAAGGCGCATCTTTCATAGATCAATTCATTATCCGACTTCTGGCAGTTGAAAGGCGGCGACTGACCACAGTTTTCAAACACCGATATCAGCTTTCAGTGTTTAGGAAGATGACAAGAGTGGTGGTGGTCTTCCATCAAAAAGAGGCTTCAGAAGAATGGGGTAACTAAGCATCGAATAGTATCCTTTTTATCTGTTATGGTTTGATTTTTAGTAGAATACACACTACTGGGTTGTTTGCACCGAGGCTCATAACTATTGTATGGAGCCATAAAATCCTTCTCCATTCTTCAGCTGCACTCTCAGATAATGCATTCTTTTCATAAAGCTTTAATATCCAGTCACGTGATCAGGGAAGTGACAGAGAGCAGAACGGTAGGAATGTGTCTGTGTACAGGAGGAGTGTGTGCTTCTGTCAGGGTCACTGCAGTTTGTCGATGAGCCCTGCAGTGCTCAGATCTATAACTGTCACTACTGCAGTGGGGGTGATGAAGAAGAGAGCATGCGGGCAGCCTCTCTTCTCGTGGACCTTGGCTAACAAAGCCGGTGTGCAGCAGCAGGTCAAAGAAGACGAAGGTTAAGAAGGTTAAAACCCTATTCAGTCAAAACTGTGTGAGGATATAAATGAATCAACATGCTTTGCGCTGACAGAATTTAATTGTATAATCCCGTTTAGCCCAAAACGACATGACCGAGGACACCCCCGAGATGTTTCCAATCCACCTCGCGCAGTGAACTACATGTAGGTCAAAAAACAAGCGGCTTTGTGTAATGACGTGGGGATGTGGATTCAGAGCGGCTGGCTACAGCAGAGTAGCGGTATTCATGTTCCCTTTTATTGGCAAGTATTCCTTAAGGAGGGAGGCTGGTGCCTGTCCTCATTAGTAGTCATTGAACGGGCCCTGGCAGTGTTCGGGAGGCAGCACCCATCACGTTTCCCCGTCCCAGCACACAGACACCGGGGGTTGTGTTGTAATTACAGGCGCACATAAGAGCGCGATCTGAAACGCAGGTGGGTGGTTTGTTGTGTTGGCTGAAGCAGCACGGCTCCAGTCTGCGGGCTACGCAGTTTCAAGTGATCAAGATCCCTGAGCACGTGGACCAAATACCACCTGCCAGACAGGAGATAGGGCATGGCACAGGTAAACGTTGGCTACATTGATGTTTTTGAAAAGCCAGAATCGATTTGCCTGTGAGGTATTCCAATTCATAGGAAAATGAAGGCAATTTTGAAAAATATCCTCATTGTCCTCAGGGAGGGAAGGAGGCATTCTATCAACAAAAGATGAGCGCAGAAATTGCTGTTTTCTTTGAATTGATAAGCATGAGTTCTGTTATGTTTGAATAGAGGCATTTCTCGGTAGGCTGAAGCATTTATATAGTATTCTTGGTAAAGTGTGCAAGACAGAACAAAAACACGCAGGTCTTGAGGTTTAAAAAATGAAGTGCATAAATATGTTTCCCTGACAGGCTGTTGTCATGATTTGCGACCAATGATGAGCAACTCCAATCCCTTTATGTCAGCTGAGAAAGATTGACTGAACATGTTTTGCAGCCACAGCAGCTGTATATTTTCAGATCAAGCCCCAGGCATCATTTTTGCCATTTTCATCTGCGCATTTCTGTTATAAATAAACATAAATCATCTTTATAAAAATACGATGGCTTCAATAAGGGTAATTTATGCTAAGAATGCATACCTTCCATCATGTTTTATTAATCCATGACCATGTATCAGTCGCTTATATCAATTGAATGGGCATGAATATTCCCCTGGAGTAGTTTACAGTGAGGAATAAACATCCTTTTGATATGTTATTATGAAAGAAAAAGGCTTAGCAGATTTAAGAAAGGCATTATAAGAGCAGAACATACCTCGACAGACAGTCCCATTCTCCACAGCCTCGTTCCCAGCCTTGCACATGCAGCGTCCAATGGGAACCATCCATTCTCCATCTCCATTGCAGTACAGCTTGATGGGCACGTCCACCTCCTCTGCGTTGGGGATGCAAACACCTCGTGCAGCCACCAGGGAGGTGCTCTCTGCTCCCGACAGCGTCTCCTGGAACAACGCCCCGTTGGTGATGATGCGTGGGCACTTCCGATAGAAGACGCGAACAGCGATGAGCGACATGCAGCCGCCGTAGTCCTGGAAGGCGAGGTAGAAGCCGTTTCGTGACACAGGGCCGAAGCTCCGGATCTCAGTGTTGATCTTCATCACTCTGCCCCCTAGATCCACCTGGGAGAAGCTCTCGTCTGCTGCGATGGTGTCCACTTTGATCCAGGGGTTCTCCATCCAGGCCGGGGAGTTCCTGCTGGCTGTGTCCGAGTCAGATTCGTAGTAATAGAGGTTAAATGTCTCTTTACAGGAGCCAGGCACGTTGGGAATGCTACTGCAGTCCCTCACCGAGAACTTCATCTCCACGTGGATCCGCTGAGCACCACGACGGCGGATGTACTTTGTCCGTACCCAGTTGTTCTGATTGTTGTCGAAAACATTGCAGACCTGGTACGTCCGGATGGTGTTCATGTTTTCATCATAACCGCTCACCTCCTCCCACTGTTGAGACAAAAACACAGTCAGTTAGCATGTTTACATTTGACTGCTCTGAAAAGAAGACTTAAATACAACATTTTATGAAAAACAAAACTGGTAATTAGGCACATAGTTAACTCGATTCATCCAATTAGGCACAATTCAGCTGTAAAGCAGTAAACGGTCTGAACGCTTCCAATTAATATGAACATCATAAAGCCCCGCTGATACCTATTTGGTAGCAATAACATGAATGTTTTCATGCATACTTTATAATACTTTGATTACTGGGATTAATCAGCTCAAGCAATGTTTTGATTACATTAATTAGATGGTGCAAAGAAACTAAATATCTCCAATGAACCAGTTGCATTAGATCTAAAAGAATGCAAAACAGCCTTCAGAGTGTCCTCACATTTCTTGGCTTAAAGAGGACACATTATGCTAATGTCCATGTTTGTATTTTCTGCCAGTACTTTGACATATGTACATGCTTCAATGTTCAAAAAGGTGGTGAATGTTTAGGAGAGAAACTCCCTCTGAAGGAAAAATTGGGATGTTAGCCTTTGCAGGCCATTTACATGCACGGAAACACACTACAGGAAAGGGAAAAGCCCAAAGTACTGTATTAAGGGGTGTTAAAAACATTTGCTTTGTACAGGCAGAGCGCTTTGATGTTGACCCTCCCTTTTCCTCTCCTCCCATGGAGGAAACCGTTCACATCTTGTAATGCTTTGAAAGAAACCGGAGACGTGACATTAAGACACTTGAACAGAGCAGAAAAGTTTCTGGTTTATGTGATATGCGTGTCCTACTTTAATACTGCGTCGTAATGGGACACATTCAGAGCACATACGGTAATGGGTTATTGACATTGCGGTGAAAGCTCTTTTCCCTACAGTGAAGCACTGAGGAAACATGACATGACTTTTCCAATATCAAAGTCACACTAAACTGACATAATCATATTACACAGGTAATCATATAAAGAAAAATGGAGGGGCAAATTTCAGTATGCTATTCAGCTTCAAAGTCCACGTATTACACACCAATTGGAGTCCTTGCTCTGTCTGTACGGACTCCAGATGCAGCCTCTGTGGTTTCCCTGGCCCTTGGCCATGGATCAAACCAGCTTTAAACACCATGCGCTTTAACCACCAAGCAGGTCGTGACCTTGACCCCGGCTTCTCAGCTAAGAAGAAATGCTGCTCTCACCCCCCCAGAGCCACTGTGAATCAGCTGCACCCTCTACTGCTTCCACAGCTCGACCTCCCCGCTTCACTCTTCACTTCACAGCTGATGTAATTTCTCAAATTAGTGCCCACTTAGTGAGGATTTTTACAGATTTTGACGAGTTGGGAGAAGAAAGTCACCCCTCTTGTTGTGAAACCGGCGTTCCATCAAACACTTTCAGACTAATTAGAACGACTTTGGTTCTTAATTCCCATGTCCTAATAAACACTGAGTCAATGTGATGCCTGGCTCGACCAAAACTCAAATCCAAACCATCAAAAGAGCCAACCACAACAGAGGACTGAAGTGCGGCCAAAAATAATAGAACAATTATAGAGAGTAAACAGAATGCAGCTTAACCAACAAAAAGAAAAATAATAAGTCTTTTGTATTCGTGTCTTAGTGACCCTTTAGTCCTTATTAGCTCAAAGAAAAACGATTGTCCTTAAAGTTGTGAATAAACATATACACACACAAAAAAAAAAGTTTGTAACAGCTAGTATGACTTGGCACATTTAATTTGTAAGTGGTCTTACCAAAACACTTTCAAGAGTGTTTTTTAATTAGAAATATGTCTAGAAGCTTTAAATAAATACAGCTACCCGCATGCTAGCTGCAGGTTCTTGCTGGTGTGGTTTAAGGATAAATCTGTCATTTGGCCCATACTGGCAGACATCATCATCCCAGGTCATGAGCAGCCATTGACCTTCCCACTTGTTGAGGAGCAGTGGGGGGAGCTGTGGGGGAGCTGTGGGGGGAGCTGTGGGGGGAGCTGTGGGGGGAGCTGTGGGGGGAGCTGTGGGCCAATTAAACAAAAGCGGGCAGTCCGCTTGTGAGCAGAGAGCGTTGGACAATCGCAGTTTGATAAAAACTGAATGAGGAGACAGGTGGGGGCTGCTGCTAATGAGGGACGCAGACAGGGGAAACTGCAGGGAAAAGTGTTGGTGGTGATGTGGGGAGAATGGGTTGATCCGGGCTAAAAAAGACCCCAAACAAAATGTGTTTTGATGGAGGGCCCCTTTTTGTCCTGTCATGGCCTCTTTGCCCCGCTTTCATCACAGCCAGTGGAGGGAAGCAAATGGGGCATAATAAGAGCCTAACGATCAAGCACCGAGTGTGAAATTAGAAGAAACGTCTTCATTTTCACAGCTCTTTACTGAGAGTGCTGTAAAAAGGGTGGTCATGTGTTTTAAGTATAGAAGGTGGAGGTAACCCTGGTGCTGGATGTCAAGTTGGATTAGTTAGAGGGGATGAGCCGCCCTTGGATCATAATGGAAACAAAAACTCCTGAGATCCTGTTACATTTGGCACAAAGTTGTTTTTCTTGTTCTCTGAGTGTGCAAATCCACAGCCATAGGGTTTAGCTTATTGGATAGTGCCATGCTGTAAGGGGGAAATAAATACATGCTTTAGGCTTGAAGGATCAAAGGCATTCTCTTCATAACCAAAGGCATACCAAATATTATTAAGAGTCAATTTGCATTAGTGAAGTTTACGGTATTTTTCAAATGTATGTGACATAAGACTCTCAGACTTCAAAGTAAATAACAAGTAAACAAAAATGTACACTGGATGTGCTTCCTTCCTCTGAGGAACACTTACTCATCCAATACAACAAATCAATGGTGTGAAACAGAATGCGTGACTGGCTCCAAACAAAAAGACACCGTGTTATCTTTTAATTGCTCTCATTTGGGTCCAATATTGGTGGGTCGAATAGGGTCTGCAAGCAGTGTGTACTTCAACCTGCTGGGTGTTACCTCTGATGTATTCAAAGCAGACTCAAACAAACACACCTGCATGTGATATTTGAATGATCTCTCATCTGATCCTTATTAAATATGTTGCATAAATAAAACACGACATGATATTTAAAAGTGTTTTTATATTTACTTGACCTTGGCGATTATCCAACATTGCCGAACAGAATGGAGTACTTGGAATCTGTCTGATGAGTGCACACCTGCTGTTTTGATAAAGCGTGTTAGATCTAGATCAAACAGCAATGTGCAGCTGCCCCTTGTTCTGTTCTCAATACAAATGCCTGCACCTTTATCGTCTTGCCAATTTAACCGATTTCAACTGTTTCAACAATAGTCTGGCCATCTTTTCTTTTTTTAATTAAACTTTTTGACCTCCAGCTTTGGATCCATGAACTGATGTGCCTGTCATTTGTTTTTCAATCAGAAGAGACTTTTGATTAATGAAACATTCATGTGCACAAGATGGTCGAAATGTAAATAGTCTTCGGTGAATAGACCCCATTGTGATATCATATATCCTAAGGGGGAGATGCAGCCGTAAGTAGAATAGGAAACCTGCCCAGGGTCGAGACACGGGTGCTGATGTTGATAGGAGGAATGGATGCTAAATATCTGGATTTGATAAGGAGTGACTTCTGATCAGCTCAAACCTGGGCACTATGATGACGCAACGTGAATCGGGAGGGAGGGGGGGGGGGCTCAGCATTAACACCTGAAACCTCAGGTCTTCTGGTACTGGCCTTTTAATCATACCCAAAGGGAAAACAAAGACCCCATGGTGAGGCGTATCTTTATTATTACGGGCCACGACTGTGGAACAGCCTCCCAGAAGACCTATTGGCAGCAGAGAGCGTTCGTACTTTTAAGAGCTAACTCAAGGGCCACCTTTTAATTGAGCTTTTAACTGATTGTATTTTATTATAGGTGTATTCTTATTTGTATTTTTATATTTATATACACACATAAATGTGTTGGTATTAAGTGTTATTTTTAATCACAAATCTATGTGTTCCTCTAGTTATTACCTGGGATGGAGGAGATAGTATTGTTTTTATTTGTAAATTGTCTATGTGTCTACAGTACAATACATTTGGATTTGACACAGTGGGGAAACACATTTAAAGTTGAACTGGAACGCAATGATTGGCTGTTGGCGATAGTATCAAAATGTAGCTGGTTAAAAGTGGACAGCCATAATCAGTTAATTAGATGTAGTGAATCAATGTTGAGGTAGTCTTCCTGACTGATGTTACGCTTCAGTTTCATTATGTTAGACTTGCATAGAAGGCCTGTCCAAAGTGAATATAGGTTGTTATGGTAAGGCTATACCAAGGCTAATAGAGACTGCTATGTGTCAGCTGCTCCTCTTCCTCTGGAGTTATACGAGGTGCTACAGTTCAGTGACGCTCACTGAAAATAAGGTTCAAAATCAATATCTCCTTTATCACTCAAGGAGACATAGAAAAGTTCAGCTGACCTACTATCTATACTGTATGTCTGCTTTCCGCTTTCTTCTGTAAAGCCAAGCAGAACACACTGTCAAGCTGCCTGAGATATAGCTTAGCTTCCCTCCACACCTGAGACCATTTACTAGAGACAGCTTTTTGCCTCATTCACCAGACAGTGAAATAAGTGCTGTCCTCCTCCAACTAATTACAAAACTCCTGTGTAAGCACACATTATGCAGGAGCTACTGTGCACTTTCCCATTTCCCATTGACATCTTCTCCATTTTATTCCAAATGACTTTACAGTCTGCAAGCAGAGACTGGGGTTTAGAGCTCAAGAACACTCAAGTCACGTTTGCGTATAGACCGTAATTACAGTTGTGGCCTTGAGGGGTTTTACAACAGCCACATTGACACAAAAGGTAAAATAAACAGCTTCCAACTGTTGATTCTAAATAAAGAAACCCACCAAATTCAAACAGCATCCTCACCTAAAACAGTTGTGGAAACCTTGTGATGGGCCTCATTTCAAAGGATGACTTCTCTCAAGGACAACCAGGTGAAGAGTGAGGTAACAGATA